GTGTGCTTGTGTTTATATGTAAATATATCAATGCGTGCAGCCATGTAGAGGTTTATACATGCGTACGTATGCACAGGCTTATGTGGGTGTTGTGGTGTGTGATAACGACCACACTAGTCTACCGGACGCTGCTTCACAACCCACCTGAACCACTCACCTGTCCAGCGACCAGACAAGTCTCTCTTTTTATCCCAGGAAGAAATCCTACATCACCGACTAATTTTAATAAACAACGCGAGTTAATCAAAGTTTTTCGGCTTAAACGAAGTACGGTAATCAGTTAATTAAACCATTAAAACACATGAAACTGAGCTAGATTTATTAAGGACAAGTTTACACGTTAAATCGACCATCCAGCTACACTCAAAGACGTTGTTCATCCTGAGTATAATACACATATTTAAACGGGTGACGAGTATCGTATTCCTACCCGGTTTAGCAACGACCAATAGAAAATGGATGATCACGTCCTCCGTTTTCTATAAGATTTTCAGTTATGTAGTTATACCGCGGAAAACATACGCTCCAATTTCGAAACTCAGTGTTATTTGATCGTTATCTACAAAATCTACAAGAAAACGGTACATCATCTCCATTTTCTAAGGTCGAATCTACTAGAAAACGAACAGTTTATGCTTAGAACGGGACTCATCATTTTTTACTTGTTACTAGTCTACACAGTTTTGATGGTAATAAATTTAATTCATCATTTATAAGCAAGAAAAGTAAGTATACATGACAAAGTGAAATATATATTAATGCAACACCATATATAACACAGCAGTTTGGGAGATGAATTTTAAAATTAAAATAAACTGAAAAACATTGATAGCAAAGAATTATGAAAAAAAGCTCACAAAACTAGTATTCATATATTATAAAAATAAACCAACTTCGTGACAAAAACAGACGAGTAAGCTGACAAGTGGTGGATATGACAAACTCAGAAGATGAGAATGAATAAATAAATAAATAAGCCATATATAATGAAATTTAAAACATACAAGCACACTAACCTATAATATATGCATCAGATGAATGAACATATGACAGTAACTGAAACTAAATGCAGTAAAAAAAATAAATAACTAAATAAAAAACAGCATCACTTGAGCAAACATGATAAAGGTTGGTAATATTTGTCAAAGGAAAGTTAAAAGACACAACACCAAGATGTTCAGAAAAAATCATCAAAATAATTCTTAGAGATTTATGTTGTAATTTTCCCAGTCTTATTTAGAAGTGACTTAATGAAACCACGATATACAGTTGAGGACCAAAATAGCGTCGAGGTTACAGACACTCACTCACTCGTTGTGTCATTTCCCAAGCGTAGTTGAATCTCTCCCTGAATTATTGAAGTGCATTAACACATCATAACATCAACATTCCTAGCAGCGTTAATTAATGGCGGTATCTTGTTTTTGTTATAGATTTAGATTTTTTTTTAACATTCACAAGATTTATTAAGAACTGAGGATAAATGAAAATATCTTACAGAAATCAGCTTTTACAAATTTAGGGGAACACAAAGCTACGCCATATCTACTGTTTACAACGTATGACTCTTCTAACTTTAACACATAATGGACCTTATTGTTTACATGTTATATGCCGATTTTTTCACTAATTTCTAGACAGAATACATCCAGTGATCCAACACAGTTAACACTTCCCTAAATTTTGATAACACTTCGGCAGTAGTTTTTGTGCTTGAGCTGAACTGAACTGGTTTAATTCGTTGTCTCTTCAGTTCAGGAAATATGTTTACGTACAAACCTTTGAGTTTTCGTGACCCAGGTGTGTACTGACCTTTACCTGCGGTGTGTTACTCACAAGAGGCAGGTGGAATGAATTAGATATAACCCTTGTCATTAATAAACTAGATTTACATTATTTCTTGTGAACGATGTACTCGTACACAGCATCGGGTGTATGTAATGATACGAGCTAGAATTTTGGTTTGTATATTTTTTTTAATGAACACGAGTCATACGTGTGTGCATGTATACAGTAAGCCTTTGCAAGACTTGCATAAACAAAAATCCGCAAACTTAGAACTAGGGAATACCGACGCTGGACTGATACCACTGAACTAAGTTTTAAGGTCATTTGGGTGATAATGTATAATTCAGTGGGACAGACTTCCAGGGCCCACACGGCGAGGGCCAGATGAGTGGCAAGACAGCCTCATGATATTTTGAGGCTTTCTTGTCATCTTATTTACTTATTTTCGATACTTAGGTATGCTCTTTATAAAGGCTATAACTACCATATGCTCATTTTTTCATAACAAAGTCAGTAGCTATACAACATTATGTACTGTTGACTTCAATAACAGAACATTACACTATTTTGATCGGCCCAATGCTTGCCACGTCTTCATTTGAATATGAGAAAGTTCAACAAAACATCGCAATTTTTCCCGCCATGTTCAAAAGGAAGTTCAAGAGCCCAATATTACTTAATTTGATGAAGAAGTCATTTCACAAAATAACCTAAGTTGCTCAGTGGCTCGAGAGGAAGTTATTTCTATCTGTTTTACTAGTAATGACATTCATTCACAGAAAACAGTGAGTTTTTAGTAGCCCTAACCTAAGAAATACAATAACAATTGATAATTAATCTTATATGAAAGTCTTGGAATATCATATTCTGATTCTTACATTTTATCTCTGATCATAGATAAGCGATAATATTGTATAATTACCTCTCATTGTCCTCTCGTGAGCACACAACAATATTCGTCAACAGAGGCCAGAAATGACAAAAGATAAATACATCCTGTCAAGTGAGTGTGTTGAGGTAAGCTCATCATAAAGTGTAGGTATACACACTGAAAGAAGGCAAATGAAGATAAACTGTATTACTTGTTGGGAATTTGGAATAGCGATTTACACATACGCATTGGTGCCTTGGTGGTAGGGCTGCAGTTCCCGGGGTATTACTAAACTACGAGAACCTACTCCATCACAGCTAATAAAATACCACAGCTTCACTACCAAAATCCGAAATAAATTAATTAAGACTGCTGTTTAGTTATAATAATTATTGTAGTAATCTATAAACTAATTCATTAGAATATCCTGGTACGTGTTACTCAAAGGGATTAAAAAATTTACACCGCCTAATTACATGTTATAACCCTAGAGTCTAGACCTAAACCATCACACCCGTAAATGCAGTGGCCCCAAAATTATACCAACTTAATTTTTCGTGCATATGGGCACCCGAATCAAACGTTGGGTTTGATAGCCTAAATAAACTATAATATAACAAGTAAAAGAGGGGTTTCTTAGCTTGAGCTGTAGATAGTGAAGCAAATTCATCTGGCCGCGTAGACATCTAATAGAAGATTACATCATGATTGTGAGACTTCGGATGCACATATTAAAATAAACTGAGTTTATTTATTGAGTAGTTGTTAGAAGATGCCATAACATCTAGTGGATTGAAGATTTCCTGTGCCCGTCTCCCAGGAAGTCTGGTTGATGTTGCTCCTCCGGGTGTTGCTGAACCTATTGCTCGTCTGGCCTGTCTCCACCAACTCACGCAGTCCAAGCCTAAATTCGCGGGAAACTTCTATGATTAATTTTAATTATATTCTAAAAATATATTAAAATTTTTTGTTCAGTTAACATTATTAATTTACCGAGTGAGTTTTCATTATATTTGGTAATCATACAAAGCGTAGTTTAGAATATAAGAGTTTCCACTATACACCCTAGTCGATTTCGTAACGGATTTATACAATCACTTGAATTGCCCGTCGAAATAACTCGGTTTATAAGATTATATACTACCTAATATTTTCATACTTAGTAAAGAGAATTATTTACAGTCTTATGTAAAGTATATACATCACCATACTTTCCCGACATCACTTGTCCATAATCCATAGTGATACCGAGCCTAAGATGCAGTTCAATCAAGTTAACCTAACCTAACCTAACCTAGCTTTACCGAACTTAATCGTTTATTCCGTGAGGTATTAGTGTCGTAGTAATGTCAGCCTTTTCTCCCTCTCCCCTTCACCCCACTCTTTTCCTCTCCCCACACCCTCCCTCTCTACCACGAGATGTTAACAACACAAATAAAGTTATTTATAGGGCCTTTAAGAAGAGTTAGGATTAAAGTTGAAAAATAGATAATGAAAACATGTTGATGGACCAGGAGCAACTGCAGCTCAGGTCATTCCCAATCTTTCCATGCAAATTTGACATTCGTAACTGGTGCCATTATGCTATTCTTCCTATTATCAAACACAGCACCACCACAGATACTGTACACAGCTGCATCTCCATTCAGAACAGTGCAAACTGCTCCTCCAGTCTATCTAGCACTCAAGTATGACCCATTTTCCTTACTACTGTGCAATCTATATTACTCAGCTTTGACACCACTCTTCTAGACAGTGATCAACTGTATTAAATCATTGAATTGGGACGTCAAACAAGTGTTCCACTCAACGAATATTGTCTCTCCCTAAGGCATATATCCAAGTGCCACAACGGAGAATGTCAAACTTTATCCACAATCGTCAATTACTTCTAGTGCACCTTTAATACTGACTCTACAGAATCTGAATCAGTGATTACAACAGGTAAACAGAAAGTAACAAATTGTCATGTTACAGTTTCTAAACATAACAAATTAATTTATTCCTATACAGTACATACTTTGATCAATCATAAATATATAGTTCAAAATAGCTTGTAACTGTCACAGGTTTAATTTTTCGTCAAATTGTTCAGTTTGGCTTCTTTAAATAATCCCTCACCTAATATTCTGTGCTGCTAGAATAAAATTGAAAATGCATACCAGTTTCTTTTTTTCACAACTCTTGGAATATTATTTTTATTCACATAACATTATCCCCACTCAAGTGCCAGCATCCACTACAACATTTGCAAAGATTCTGAGCATGATTTTGTGACCTTTATCAGGTACGTGTACTACATCACCCACCACCACTGTATTTGGCTCAAATGAAACGACTGTTTTCTTCAGTTGTGATTTTGGATGCTTTTAACTTCAATATTTTACCAGTAAAAAAATTACTGTACAGTAATCCTTACCTCTAAATATACCCATACATATTCTATAATGTAATACAGTATCTTATTTTTCACACACACACACACACACAAAAAAAAAAAAACACTAATGGTGAGCTTCAAAGGATTAACAGAAAAAAAAGATTGTATTCCAATATGATTCTTTCTTAGCACTCATACAGCAGGGAACATTTGAATATAAATAATATATATATATATACTAACATTATCTTATATAGGAAACCCACTACTTTGACAGTAGACCAACAAAGCTACACTCTGAAGCAAGGAACTTTTCCTGATATCTAAGCTGATAAAAATTTGAGACCTGTTAAGTAATGACCATTGACACCTGTATAAAAGGATTCTTTTCAGGCTTCAAATTTTGGTATAGTGACAGCTTGAATGTCAGGTACAGTATACAAAAAATAGAACAGCATGGCTGTAGGTCACTTTACTCCCACAATAACTCATTCAAAACTGTACATGTGGGAAGCAAACAGGTAACAGATAATTATAACAAGTTCAAATTATACAACACCCCTATATATTACTGTATACAATTTCAATCATTATTTTTTTTTAAATGGTACATCAGTTCATGTTTTATTTCTAAAAGTCTGATAACCCTTACAATGTTCCTCACAAGACATGGTAACAAACACACGTATTAAGGAAATGCAACCAAGATGGTGTTTGTGTTGGAACGACAATGGATTCACTTGAACACACAATACTGTAATGACTTAGATAGTGCTGCTTGGTACATAAAACACCATACATAACATGTAACCTTATTATATGTGACTTTGAAGTAGGGAAATCATTTCAACAATTAATTTGCATTGCAGGAAGGCTTGACATAATACAGTACTGTATAAACAATACCCACAAAAGCACTTTTATCAACGTCCAAAAGGGATTAGTTAAAGCAACTTGTCCACTCAAAAAATAATTATGGCAAACTGCTTTGAGAACAAGGAAGGGGTGTTGACATTTTGACTACACAATACATTCTGTCCTTGACTTGTAAACATCAAACTTAAGTAAAACTTTTAAAGTCTAGCACAATACCTGAATCTGGTTTTATGTATTCTACAATATAGATCAAATGAGATGATAATTCTAGACACTCAGTGCAATTATATTTATCTTAAATAAAATGTCAACAACTACTTACTACTGACCAGTAACTTACAATAAGTCTTAAACTTCTTCAGACTTTATATTACTGAGCTAAACTGAATTTTTCCTCAGTCATATTTTATTCTCTAAAACGACTGAAATAAAACTTCCCTTCAATAACTGAGTCACCAAACACTCATCCAACCAGTCACCCCACACTCATCCATCCAGACAACCCACAACTCTCACTAATAAACTCATCCAGACAACCCACAACTCTCACTAATAAACTCATCCAGCCAACCCACAACTCTCACTAATAAACTCATCCAGCCAACCCACAACTCTCACTAATAAACTCATCCAGCCAACCCACAACTCTCACTAATAAACTCATCCAGCCAACCCACAACTCTCACTAATAAACTCATCCAGCCAACCCACAACTCTCAACACAATCCTTCAGTTTTACCTGTTATCTTACTCTGAAGTCCCTTCCTACCCTATCAATCCCATCAGGCATCCCAACATCATGTTATAGAATCATCTACAAAAGCTCAACAAACCATACTATCCACTCCTGTAACAATATGTCACATCATTCACTCTATATCTTCCTCCATTATTAATCAAATGCCTTTCAGTTGCTTCTATCGTGTAGCAAATCTAATCATATAACATACATTTCACGTATAGGTGCCTATTTAAAAGAACACTACAATATAGTGTACTGCATCACTTGTTTCAGTACCTACTGTATCCCATGGTGATCACGTGTCTTCCATTTTTAAATGCCTATACTGTACTGTACTCCTATTTGCGTCTCCATTATATCTTATTTCAAGTCTACATTCCTTTAACTACATGACAGGTACAATGGCATAACCCTAATCTCAGTCTTTATTATATCAAATTCTATTCTTGGCACACCATCATTCTGCACTATGAAACCCCCTTTTTTTTTCATTAACATACGAGAGCTTCCTTTACATCACAAATACTATGTAAAGTAATCAGCTGACAAACCTAGTTGGTATTTTGCAACTAACTTTATCAGTATACTGTACAGTTATGGCCAAATGAAATATAGATGCTGTTGTAGACACTGTACACGAGTTTTGGGTTGCTTCTGGCTGGCGGGTTACAGTTAGGGATTAAAAATCAAAGCTTGTGTAGATGGCTGGTTTCCTCCACGAAGGAGAGAACATCCCCTCCCATGCTACCCACCCCCCGAGCACCAAAGAGAAACGGTAAGACCCGTCTCCTCCCTGGCACTTTGAGAGGTGTTTACGACAAAGATTTCCGAAACTGGGGTAGTATGGGGTACTCCACTAGGGGGTGTCGGACAGTCAATGAGACCAGGTAGTCATCACAATGCGGAGGCGGGCCAAAGCAGTCTCCCAGCGGCACGACAGTCCATTATATACCCATGCACCCAATGCAGGGTGGATGTCGTGGAGCCTGTTTGCTTTGATAGCATCCTATCTGCATTGCCAACTCGAATGGATGGCAGCTCTTATTACTGGCTTCATATCAGCAGCATGTAGAGGGGAATGATGTGCCACAGGGTGAGAAACAGCTGCTTTCAACACAACATCAGGAGACTCATTCCCCTTCTCATTAATGAGATTATTCTGAATAGTCTCTTAATGAGAAAACATATTGTTAATAAGTCCACATACTGAGCACTCATCCTACAATTATAAAACAATGAAAACTCAAGTTTTATTTAAACTCAAAGAAATAGATTTTCCACCGTGAACAGAGGAATCGACAGTGCTAACTCGTAGGCCAGAAGTGGGCAGGGGCTACGACGGAGTCTCTATCTCATGTGGCCGGAACTATACATCGTCTATCATCTTCTAAAATAGTGCTCTATATACTGTATATCCAAACCATTTCTCATGAAAATGAACTAATAACTATAATCTAATACCCTTGTCCTAACAAGCTCAGCAAGTATTGTGCTACATAATGAGAATAGATGCTATACAGTAATTCAAAACTATAAAGTACACAGAATAGGATCCACCACTTGGTATAAGGGAATCTGAAAACAAATTCAGATAAAAAGCTGACCAACCCATCTGTTACTTGTGCAATATATCCCCATCTTTATGGTCTATACATTTCAATCTTAACTAATTAAAGTATGAAGAAAGTGCAAGAAAAAACCATATTTTTCTAGAAAACTTGTGGAATTTTTATGGATATAATTGACCATATACAGTACAGTATAATATTCACATACTGTAACTCCACTAAACAAATTCCAAAGTTTTAATTAGACAAATATATTTTTTACACCGTATTTTATGGTTTATTAGATGAAAGGGCATATTTTTTAAGGTACCTATACTCTCATATTTCAGTGTATTTTTCTTCTGTAGCCAACCACAGTTTTCTTAAAATTAAAGTAAAATCAATGTGTTATTAGTCACTTAACTGTTATTGTTATGATTATTACTCCTTGTACTAAAAAGTAAGATGTCCATACTAAGCACTCCAAAAACACGAAATGGCCCCCGACTACAGTACAAGTCTTTGCTGCCTGCCAATAATGATGCTACGTGTTAGTGAGACACTATAAACATAAGTGATGGCTGTTGGTGTTATTCACCATCATCATAATTTGAAGTTTCTTTAAAAGCTAAAGGACATTTCCTAATAAAAATAATAAGATAAATGTTGCAGGTACAGGTGTACCCCAATAACCGATGCATATAGGGACCAGGAAAAGTCGTTGGTTAGTGAATCAACGGTTACGTCTTATCACATCACATCAAGCTGGAGAATCTATCACTGGGTGATTTAGGAATGATTGCATAACACACGAAATCGGAAATAATGAAAAAACCTGAAGTCAGAGACACATGGTAAGTGTAAACAAGAGTAAAGATGGCGAGAATGAGCGAGAGGCAGGGCACAGTGTCCTATTGTGGCAAGAATTCGCATCACACCGCCTCCCGCCAAATTCAAAACGGCTCTGCCGCTCCTCTCCCAATAGTGGGATCTCCGAGGTATCAATGAAATTTGCGGGGCATCTCCCCTATATGTAATGAATGGTTATGGGAAGCAGCTATTATTGGGGCGTCGGTTTTCGGGGTATACCTGTATGATATTAATACTGTAGACAGTAATACTTGTAAGAGTTCAGAAATGGTTACTGCATATCTCTGAAAAGTTGGGTGCCATAAGGATGCTAATAGACTTGGGTTATCATCATCAGTACAGTACAGGTAGTTATAAACCCAGATTTAATATTTACATTTATTCCTTTTTAAGTTAATTAAAAGTAATAATGTGTTTAAGTAAACAATAACATATTTTTAATTTTGGTGTTGGCGAGGTGTAATTTAGCCTAATGGAGACAGCCACTGGGGATTCATTAGCCTATGGGAGACTCCAACTTCACATATAGGATGTGGGGGAAGTTTAAAAAAAAAAGAAGAAAAGACAGAAAAAGATGCATCTTATATGCTATAAAATACGGTAGTTGACTGAAATTAGCAATATGATCTTGGTATAGTGTTAATCACACACTAATGATGTAAAATTCAAAATGGGTTCAGAATTATAATGAAGAGGTATATTCTTTAGAGAACATCTAAAACAGATTGGCCAGTAGTGACAGTACAATACAGTACTGTAATTTGTTTTTCATTCTCTGAGGAGTTAAAATATATCCACATAAAAGCGAGAGACACATTATAAAATGTATATGACGGCAAGGCCTCTTGCCATACAGAGAACCAATTTAACACTATAACGTCTTTTTAGTTAACTACAGTATGTAATCATTCACAATATCTTTCATCCTGAATTTAAATATTAAATTGTATTAATTTTATGACTAATTCTATAGCAAATATATTTATGTAATTCAATCAAATATTAAAACTTAAATTCCTACCACAAAGAAAAGCTATCAAGTTAAAAGCTAATTTACAAATGAATAGCAACATTTTGATACCATCACCATCTGTGCAACATGACAATGCTTTAAAAAAATTAGGTTTACACTCAGAATTATCATAAAAAATAAGGATAACTTTTTGCAAGAAAACAACATGAAGATCATTCATAGTGAAACGCTACCAATTGTGGTCCACGTCAGGGACACAATATCCAAACAGATCTATCAATGCTGATTTTAGCTGTACAAGTATAGTGTAAGAGAGAATTGGTATGAAAGCCAGCTGCTTCCAGTACTGTACATAATTAAAAACAAAGGCTCACAAGAAAAACAGAAATACACAAAATAATACAGTATTGATTAATTACATACTGGAGAAAATACTTGAGAATATAGTAGACACATCAACAAACACAATGTCTCCAGCACGATTCTTCCCATAAAAGAAGCTAATAATGCTATTCAAAAACTCATTAATAAATCAAGCGGATTAATTTCGACCCACCTAGATAAATATATCAATCTTTCACTAATAAAGAATCAAGGACTACATATCACATAAGTATTATATTAAAATGTAAATAGTAAGTCTTCAAAATGAGGTACTAATGAAATAATGGTTCACGTCAACAGCATTTCTGATAAAACAGCTCAATACAGTAATATGCTGAGTACAAAAATGAACAATAATATTCTTTGTATGTGTTGAACATTCTCCAACTCTTAAAGGTTTAAGAGTTTCTTTAGTGTTAAAGTAACTAAATCACAGAAAATTCCTGTACTTGAAACAAAATCTTATGATCAATAACTACCTATAGTCAATAGTGTTAAAGATAAATACAAAATTATAAGAGAAATACCTGGGACTTAACGATTCCACTACTGTAATTTACTCATTTTATTGATTTTTTTGTTTGTTTTATGTGATTTTTGTTTAATAATTTTTAAAATGCCATTAAATAACTATGTGCCATGGTGGAGGCTCAAATCTGCAGCATGGAGGCTGGGGAACATTACTGTTACAACAACTCTCTGAACAAATGTATTCTGGTGATGTAACAGTAATATTCAGGGCCACAACTACACCACATTTGTTCGCCAATGCAACACAATAACAACTCAATGATGCAATGAATATTTTTTTTCTCATTTTTACAAATATTATTATTAATCTGCCTTATCACACATACTTGGATGCTGATTAAGTGGATACAGATAATATTAAGTTGTAGTGTGTCCTTCATCATTTGGGTCCAGCAATATTAAATACTGTACAGTACATTTAGGGTCACACTAGAGGAGAACTATTTCTCATGATAGTAATTGAATATTTGTAACACTTGACATATTTACAGAAGTCTTCAACATAACCACATTACTGTACTCAATTTCTTAACACTCAAACGTAACCACAGCAAAATATATCCCACTCATACAGTGCCACTACAGATTGAAGCTAAATGACAAATACTTTATCTCTTTCTGTCATTAGTCAAGTGGAATGAGACCCAATCTTTAGATTTATACCTAGCTTTGAGGTGAGATTCAGTCTTCTATGTTCTCCTTTTACTGTAACTTATATAAAAAAAAAATTGAGTGTGTTATATGAAGTGTCCCAAGTTTTACTCAAACTTACATAAGGAACCTCAATTGCACAAGCCTAAAATAATTGAACTTGGTAACTGTTCTGGGGTCAAGTTCTCAAAACATGGAAGATTAACTCACATAACAGGTTATGGCATGTTACTCATACTTTACAGACACTTGCTAAACATGTGAGCACACATTTACCACTAAAAACTGTGACTACATACTCAGCAAGTGCAAAAGTGCAAGACAAATACCTGACTATGTCTAGAGGATAGCCATTAGCAATATCACCAAATATGGTATTAGTAGTAGATTTGAGTTGGTCGTCTGGATTTGACCGTTAGCTGAGATTATGAAAAATAAATATATGTACAGCATGATGAGCAATCACTTACTCCTTAACTTAGATCCAAATCTCATTATCAAAAGTTCTCTTACTATTCGCATATAAAATGCATACAAAAATTACATCTAAATAGTGTTGTCTTTCTGAGGCATTGCAGAATTACACTGACTAAAATATGTACCCTAACAACAATCCTGTCAACATATTTTAAACATGCTTATGAAAACACCAAGTACAGTCACAATCCAAAATTTGTATCCAGGCCTGTCGTAGCTGGGGATCCAAAGGGGCCGGGTGACGGAATACTGCCCCATACCCTTCCAATGATAGCTCGTGTGTTGCCAGATGGCATGAGATTATTGATGGGTACATATTTGTTATTTAACTGTATAAGTTTCATAATAATGATGATAAAATCTTAGAGATGGGAGGCCAACACAGTTATTTTGGGCAGACAAGGTGCGGCTGTAGAAGAAACAAAGAACCCGTCATTGCCGCTAGTTTCAATTAATATCATTAACACAATACTGAATAATGAGTAATGGAGAGGTATAAAAATTAGGATATCAACACAGGTGTTAGCCCGAGAAATCATTAATTCGTGGGTTTAAATATAAAAGTAAGTGTTGACCTACCACATGTGTCGAAGCCTTAATGCTGCTGTCATGTTGGCTTTTGCAACGACGTCAACTTCTATTCAAATGTTATTAAATCATATACAGCTTTCTATTTTAAACTTACTGTACCTTAATATTTACTTCACTTACTTTTGGTCTTGATAGACACATTTTGTTTAGTTTGACTCCTGCCACAGTAGTTATGTTATTAAGCAAGCAGCCCGGTATCTCTCGTAATAAAATAATCATGGACTTGACAACATACAAAAATCCTGGCCATGGTCAAGAAGTGTTGAAAGTCTCAACTACAACACCAACTATCATTGGAGGGGAAAGAGGACGGTGTTCAGTGACCAGGCCCTTCTGGATAACCGGCTGTGACAAGGCCTGGATACAAACTTTGGATCACGACCGTACATACAGAATTGCCACAAGTCCAAAATAATTTCATGTACATTGTAAAAACACCAAAAAAATAGTTTCATTGTGTCATCAAGTGACTTCATAAACTTTTTCACTCATACATTTAACTACAAGAACATGCAAAATACTTTCATTAGTAAGTTTAACTATTGAGGAAGTGGCTGTCGTAAGCCTTATGATGACTGCATTACAAAAAATCACTAGGAATGATGACCACAGGTATATGATTGAGACATGCAAAGCATTAATGATTTCAAACACCTGCAGCCTCATTTCCTATTTTCATTTGGTTTTATTGAATTAATTCTTGTGATATTGAAGCCTCATCCAAACACTGTAATGAAGTAAAGATCATGCAGGATCAGAGATAAAGCATCAGAGGAATACAACGAAAACCAAAAAAAATTAGGTAAAATAGCATGATAAATATTTGTAGATACAAAACTTACACAGAACAATAGCTGAATGCAAGGACAGTGTGTGAAGAAGCTTTCCCTAAAAAGGCTGAAAAATGTACTATATATCTGAGGAAGGAATAGATGGTCCTACACATGAACTTAGGTAGAGTGTATCCCGCAAATGAGAAGGGACAACACACTCAAACACCTTCAATGTCCCAACTTTTGCAATATAGTATTAGGTTTTGTAAAAATAACAGCTGATTAGTATCCCAATCTTCAAGCTCCCTTTTTAATTAGAATGAAATGATAGAGTTTAACGTCTTTTTTTTAACATGTGTTGTAACCCTTTAACACATTAAATAATATATGAAGTGACTCTTTAGTCCTTAAACCCCGGGTGATATTCCTGTTCAGTGTTTTATAGTTCTTTTGAGGAAGATATAAACATTTTGTGTTTTGTAGAAGCTTTAAGAAAAAAATATGATACAAAGTGCCTTCAAGTAAGAAATGTGTTGTGTGTGTCACTTCCTGCTTGTTGTGGGCCGTGTGCAGTAGCTTTAAGCAAGACATCTTTCACCACCCCACACTGCTCACCAACACTCCAACTTTGCTACAATGAAAGTTGAATGTATGTACATTCTTATGGCATTTTTCTTATATTGATTAACCCATTAATAAGGTGAAAATTTTTTTTTTTTTTTTTACCCAATTATGCCCATGTAGGGGGTGCGACCGGTCTTACAACACCTGAGGGTTAAAGTGACAAAATACATCCACACAGCAGTCTAACTCTTCTTTCAACCTACTGGTAAGACATTCATGAATGTGCACTAATGGAGCAACAGTGCATGAGAAATATCTGCACGTTTAGTGTATTTGACGTTGAGAAATCAGAGGGTGAGGCTAAACTTAAGTACAGTGTGTCACAAAAGTCCCTGTCAATGTTTCTTAGTCCCTTTGTATTGATTGTTACACTAATTAAAATAAAGGTGTTCTTGAGCTTGTCAATGTATGACGGCAAACATTAAAGACACTCTGTACACTGAATGTTAAGGAATATGTTTATGTGAAACACGACTGATGAAAAACTTATGGCAGTATTAACTGTATTAAAGAAACCAGTGAGTACAAAATGTGAAAGAAAAGACAAAATAAGGGTAAGGAAAGAGGTAAAACAGAGGATATATATGAAAGAAAGATGACAGTGGAAGTATAATATAGAGGAGACAATAATTTTAGCCATTGGCAAAGATATTGATGGTTGTATGGATATGAGGAACATTGTATTCAAAGAAAAACTTTTATTTATAATTTGCTGTTAGACTGAAACTATTATTAAAAGATCAGTAAATACAGATAAATGCAAATCAAGAGTGTGCATATGTGTGTGAATGTGTAATACCACAAATGAATAGGTTGAAGAGCTTCACTGTAAAAAAAAACACATCTTAACATCAGACAGAAGACATATATGCAAACAAGAACACTTGACAGTGTTTGAATGAGGTGTAACTATTTCATGGTACCTTAAACAGAATAACGACAGCTTCCTTCACCAATTATATCTTTTTCTAAATAAAATTTTATCCATGCTTCCAAGGACTTAAATTTCATACAACAAATACTGAGCATATTATGTTATGGTGTCTAATCACATCATATATTTACCAATAACTCATTTATTTTCAAGAATTAACAATAAACTTGCCCATAAGGACATATCATTCTCATACTGTATATATGTTATGCATAAAACACGTTCTTTACATTTAAAAAAATTTGATGGCCAAGATAATCAAGGAGGTATGTTGTAGGACTGTCTGCCACATACACATACACATTGTCCAGCAGATGTTTACAAACTGTTTCATATCATGTGATCAAATGACAATTCCTAACAAGAAAATAATTATGAAATTTCTTCTTGAAAATCAAGAACAATCAAGTTACAGAATCAGATCAATGAAGTAAAACCTTTAGGGTAGTTAGGGCCTCATCTACTTGCAACTGACTCTTGCCTGTTGCCTCATCATTACAGGTGCAATATGAATATCAATGTTTTATGCAATGTCCTGAGGCTTATTCATGATACACCTGTAATTAAAAATGCTGCCCAGGCTACCTTTATAACCCTTTTCAAGTAACTGAACTGAGAAATAACCTCTAAAGGACACGTGAATGACTATAAATCACTCAGGAAACATCAACACTGAGATTAAAGAATCCTCTAAATTAAGTAACTCACCAGGTGTATACTTACACATCTTTCACAAAATTGACACAACATTCAAATTAATAATTTTTTTTTTTTTTTTACCAAACCTGCAAAAGTTTTCCAAGGACAACATACTGAACAATGTCACCAGGAATCAAAATAATAGAAATGTCAACACACTAAAACGGAAACCACATAACGACTGATTCTTCACCAGCAACAGGATACGCATAAGATTATAAAAACAATCAAGATAATTCATCCACCACACAAGATATTAACCCATAAAAGAGTACAAGACAAAAAAAAAGATTAAGAATTATCACTCTCACAGTAAGGGAAACTTGGAGAGGAAAACTCTACTATACAAAACCTATTCATGGATATCATGTTTACTCTTGAGGGTAAATGTGGTGACAGGTGACATGACAAGCAGAGGGAAAATAGAATTAGCAAGAAGAGAATACCAGGAATGTAGGGGTGCTGAGAAGGAAGGAAGGAAGGGGGACAACAAGGACAAAAGAACAGCAACAATGAAACATGGGAACACAAAATAATGAAAGGATAACCAAGAAATATTTGGGTAGACATGAAGGAAAGAGGAATAGCATGGAAATATGACAAACAAGTAAAATATGATAAGAATATACAGGACAAAGAAATAGGAAGGTCTAGGGGACAAGGAAGAAGTATGGAGAAGAAAAAGAAAACAATAACAACAAGGGAATAATGGGCAATGAGAAGGAAACAAGAAAAAGGAAAATCTGAAAAAAGGAGTTGCATTTCAGAGTTGTGTCAACAGACAGACACCAGACAGATGACACAAAAAGACACCCTTCCATCACATAGGATTCGTCGTCGCCATAATGAATACAGTATTGGCCAAAAAATATATATAGCTTTAGATTTTTTTATTTTTTTATCTTGGAACTGAAAATTAAGATGTTTAACTGAATTTTAAGCTACATGTTAACAGTAAACAGCACAAACCCCAAATACTAACAAGCAAAAATTACCTTAAAGATTTTTAATCCCAGGTTCTTAATCAATGTGTTGAAGGACTGTACTAACGTTGAGAAAAAAAAAATGCATTCAAAATATCAAGTTCAGGAATTTGGGGGTCCATATGTTTTGTTCTTACCTGGAATTACAGTACTGTAATATGTTAAACTGCTTTGGTAACTTAATTCTAACAAGGCAGTGTTAATCAGACTATGTATACAGAGCTTAAAGGAAGTGAGAAAATATCTGGCGAGAATGGCTGAAAATATTTCAAGGGGCATTATTAGCAAGACTAAATTACCTGAATCACACTTTTCTTTACTCTGGATTCTTAATCACCATGTTGAAGATCACCAATTTCGAGATTTTTAACAAGACCACAATGATCACAAATCACTAATATTCAATGCCACCCAAGATAATGGACCAAGGAAAGTTCATGTCAAACTTTATCAAAAGCTGATTAGAAAAGATGGAGTTCTCATTTGACACCAAGAGACCCCTTTCATCACACAAGCTTCATCAATGCCATGATGAGCAAAAAGGAAATTTAAAAAATCACTATATTTATAAATCTCTCAGAAATGGGTAGATTCTGCATATTTAAAAGTTTAGTTTAGGAAACTTCCTGCACTTGGTAGAAGCTATCTAGTGTACAGAGCAAAAACATTTCTCAAATAATGCTGTATATCAAAATAAAATCAAGCTTCAGTATATAAATGTTCTTTGCTCTCTGAGCTATGTAACTAAATTCTTTTTCACAAAAATCAGACTAGGGAGGAGAGACTTTTTAGGTAAGACTGACATAATAATCAAGGTCTCTCATCTTCACAAAGTATCATACACTAAAAACTTGCGATCTGATTCAACAATGATACACAGCTGTAGACAATCTCAGCAACTCAGGGTATTGGAGCATCAGCTTGAGGTGACAACAGCTTCCAGGAGTCTCAAAGGATCACACACTGAAACAGAATAGTGATTGCATGATCCTCTTGTGGCAATGAGCAGTAAGGCTGGCAGTGTGAAAGACTGACTTCAGTCTGCCAAGTCTTGCCTTTTCAGATATCCTAAGCATTATCACTCTAAGAATATCCCTACACAACTTATTTTTGCCCCAAGTTAACAAGCCTTCTCTTGTTATAACAAGTGCAGATCCCAATTCTTACCATTCACCACCTTGGCAGGATGTTTGTCCATGAAAAGCTTCCATCTAAGGCAACAATGGCCATATCAATACAAACTTCAAGCTACCCTCACAACATACATCTTTTGTCATTACATTTCCTTATCCCCATCCCCTATTCTCTCTCTACTTAATGAACTATTCCTCCTTCCCTCCAAGTTTCCCACAATAAAAGCTGACCCCTAAACTCACCTTCTACTTTACCTCAATACCCCTTCTTTATTAATCTATCCTCTTGTACCCTTATCTTATCTCTGAACCATCTCAAACAAATTCCATTCCCCATTTCACCAGCCTCTGCCCTCTCAACTATCCTAAACATTCCATACAGTATTTTACTATTTCTCATCTCTTCCATTCTGTTAAAGCTAGAGGCACTATTCAGACAACTCATTTTGGTAACTAAATTTTTGGAGCACTCTACATTACTTCAATTTATTTCCATTATATTAGAATATAAAACTGCAATTATATATTTTGACATTTCATGTTCAAATATAACAATTTCCTCTCAGTCCATTTACAAGGACAAATTTTAATATAGCATGTATGAAATGCATTATTATTCTCACTCTGAAAAACCTTTTTCAATTTCATGTCACATATTTATTCAATTTGATGATCAAAATATTGAAATATCATTATGTAACCCATAATCTCTGCTCCACAACTGTACCATAATTTTTTACCCAAAAGTTGCTAATTATTACAAACAAAATTTTTCTGTGTATCAATTAACTTACCATATCTAAATGTTAATCCATCAACCTTACTGTTCTCTCAGCTACCCCTGGATCACTTACATCAATGGTTCCAAAACTTTTTAACTTTATGGACCAGCGGAGAATAAAAAAAAAATTTCTGTGGAGTGATAATTTTAAATATTCTGTATCTATAATATACATAGACAACATAAAATAGACCCTCGGTATTTCATGAGATTGAGACCAATAATTACAGTACTGTATATTGTTCTACAACGGGGAAGATTGGGTATGGGACGAAAAACTTAGAAAATACACTAAAAATGCCTCCAAGACATTTATTTCAGTAACCACTGGTAGTAGCCAAGCAGTGAGCTTTACTGTAATATGTACAGGTGCATACAGTATACTCCTGTCTTCACACAGTATTGAAGGCAATTAGTAAAAAACTTAATACAGTAGTAATAAATTGAGATAAAGCAGAGAGGAACCCAAGACATTCTACCCCCTGACCGGCTTACTAAAGACTAAATAATACAGTACAGTAGTCATCACCAGGCCACTCAGGAGTCAGCTGACAGTTGCTAGAGATTAAGTAATATCATTAAAGATCACAAGTTTAAGAGCATTAGGTTTTTCTAACAAATAATTAACAAAATAAGCAACGGAAAAAAATCTGCAGGACCAATAAATCTTACGCCACTGAGCGGTGCCATATATTGGGAACCACGGCGTCCTACATCATGTGTTGGACCACACTGTATTAGTGACAAGAAATGACTCATTGGTTAAACTGGTGTATCAATATATGAGAATAAAAACTGAAGGTAATAAAAGAATGACATAACCATGTCGTCAGAGCTTACATCTTTTTTCTTCTTTTCCTCGTGTGTGTGTGGCGGCTGTTGGGGTGGGCTTTGAGTCTCTGGAGGTGGAACGGCCGTAGTCTGTGGAGGTGCGTTAGCTTCTGCCTCTGCTTCTGCCGCTATCCGATTCTCCTCCTCCTGTAACTTCTTGGCTATTTCCTCACTGTGTGAAGTGAATGACAATAAAGTTTCTTATAACACTTACTGTCTTCCTATGATAATATCTTGACTACTCTCTCTGTAAACTATGACTGTAAAACAAATTAAAGTAGTCTCCTCCAGTAACTTGTTGGCTATCTCCATCTCCTTATTGTATCATCATCATCATCGTCATCATCATCATCATCATCAATGTTTTACAGCACTTTTCCTATAACATGGAATACAATTTCTTCCTATAATAGTTTCAAGTCTCTCTTCTCCCAGAATGAGCCACAATGAAGCTCCTTATAACACAAAATACAGCATTACCTCCCTGAAATAATTGGAGTATATTCAGTTCATCGTTTAGGGAGTTTTTTGGGATAAAATAAATACAGTAGAAACTTTGTCATAAATAAGTTCAGTATTTTAAGTCCAGATAAATTGTAACAATACCGATTTTTTTTATATATTTAAAATACAGTAATACCCCGGTTATCATAAAGGATGCATCCCAAACAGTCAATGTTAATAACAAATTTGCGAATATTGGGGCAATGTTCCCCATGAGGGGGTATTACGTTCCCAGCCGGCAACTTTCACTACAATTTTTTTATATACTGAACACTTAATATACCTGTAATGCAATAAAATAAGTACAATATCATAAAAACAATACAAATGAACACTGAACAAACACATTTTATAAATCAAACATCTTTAATAAAGTTAAAATAAACATAAAATTCAGATTCACCATGCATATAAAAAATTCACTTACCGTAGGCAGAGACTGACACCAATGTTTTGACATCTGCAAAACTTTGTGAGTATGTGTGTGTAAAATGTGTGAGTGAATGAGTGGGAGGCTTTACGAAAACTTTTGCGATACAGTATTGATGCTGCCACACAATGCAACAGATCAAAGCAGACAGAGAGAGAGATCTTTCACGTAGCCCGGCCTATGAACACGCAGCAAACACACACAACCGCACAGTCTGCTCGCACAGCTTGAGCCGCCTGCACCAGAGTTGCCACACACCACCAGTACATGTTCCTCGTTTTGCTTATATAGAGATATTCCACCACTCCTCGAAGGTCAAATATCATCATACATACAAAAGAAAACTCCATTATGAAAACATGTACAGTACGGACCCCACACACGATAAATGAAATAACGCACAGCCGCACATTACACCTTTATCACGTCTAAAATATACCAAATAAAACGATAACCAGCAGAAATATCCCATTAAAACAGAAGAGAAGAGACATACAGGCATAATTAACGATCATTACAGAGGAACATTAATTACAGCATAATCGACTGAGTCTTCAGGTCACCATTCCATAGCAGGTAACTGGATCACATCTGGCATATCTACCGAGCACTACTTCAGACAGTAGGGTGTGAGTACTGCAGTTAGCCCCCAAGGATTAAATTTTTTTTACTGTAGTGTATCGTAATTATTTTTTCTAAGTCACTTTGTAAATATCAGGGTTGTGAAAAGCGAGGTATTACTATATACGTAGTTTGGTAACATGAGACAAGAACATCATAAAGTATCTGTATGAGTTTATCTTGTGTGAGTTGGTAAATAGTTTAAGTAAATTTCGATAATATCTGAGAGAGAATAAGTCCCAGTCTGACCTCGGTTCGAATGATAAAAAATAAATAAAACTAATAGAATCCAAGAAGACTGCAATGCCATAGTTACTTGTTATATTTCAGCCAATCAGAATGAAATGTGTTAATCCAAATATAAAACATGTTTCCAGTCAGCTGTAGCCTGTGAGATGGCTGCCATACAGCCTGTATAGTGAATTTTGCTGTATAGAAGTTCAGTATAGAGATATAATAATGTAATGTATTCTCCCCAGTAACTTCTTGGCCCCTCCTCCCTGCAGAGTAAATATAACAAGGCTCCTTGTAACACAATATACTGTACGGGCTTCTCTTTCTACAACTATTTGAATTTCTTGGTTATCTTCTTCCTGAGAGTACCTAATACAGTACAAATATGTTCTTCATAACACAAAATATTAATAACTAACACCATAGTTTAATATGGCTTCTGAACATCCATCTTTTAAAATAAAAAAAATTCTAACATACAACAATGGTTAACACACTGCGTAACACAATATTATTATTATTATTGTTCCAGAATCATAACCTTTCAAGTGTACTAGTGATTCCAACTTATGACTATAAATAATCAATCTTTCAAAATCTATAAGCTTCCAAAGGCTATGTTATCTATCCACATAATACTTACTAAAATATGACAGCAGCATAGTAAAAACCCATAATTCGTACTCCCCTAACGTGAAATCGCTCATGATTTGTAATATTTTTCTTACGAAATATATGTAAAAATTTTGTAATATTTGGAAAAATTTTGTACTATGAGAAATTTACGAATATGTATGACACACATGTCACCATGGAATGCGACCGCCTGTCTCAGTGTAAACAAGTATACGCGTGTCAGTCAGTTCACGGGGGTCAGTCGTGGAGTGCACGTCTACTGTCTACTGCACAAGTTTTTCCACTTGTTTTTCAATCATTACCCAGTGTTTGAGCCTATATGCCTGATAACCCTAAATCTGGTAGTGTACTTATATGTGTTTAAATTTTGATTGGGGCAGATAACAGGAAAAGTACCGTCGCTTTGTTTGTTTTTCCCTCGAGAGAAAATGTCCCTCATAATTCGTAAGGGCTAGAGACCTTATTATTTCGAATTATGGGGTTTTTACTGTATAATAATGGACGAAAAAGAGCATGTTGCTAATATAAAAATGCCAGATATGAACCATAAAAAAGGCCATTAGACCATGTTGAATCCTTCTGACACAAACTATACACAATGAGTGGAGAGGGAGAACATTATCTTCCGCAGAACACTCACTCTGACATATTATGTAGACCTAGTGAGTCCTTCAAACGTTCAAAGGATTGTTGTTGACGTTGTTGCAGGTCTACTTCATGCTGGAGCATTGCTGCCAACTGTTGACTGAAAAAAATGTTATTACATTACAATAAAGTCTTATTCTATATTGTCTTACATTACTCTTGTACTATACACCATTTACTCCCTTTCTTGTAATTTCTTTATCTCTCATTATTTCCCCACAAAAGTGTAGGAGGAATAGAGATAATAGATATACACAGATAGTAATAGCTAGATAGACAGTACTTATATATATTAAGCCTGAAAAGGTTTTTTCCAATAGTGTCCATAGCGTTCAGGACGCTCCCGTTAATGTGCAGGCCTTTACGGGACTAAGACAATAAACTACTGTACCCCTAAACAACAGCTGCAAGTTGATCTTATGATTGCCCATCTTTCTCGGTCACTGTTAACCCCATAAACATGGAGCCTGGTTACAAACATTGTCCTCTAGAAGCAGTAGGTCTAAAGTCAGCCATATAAATGGAGTCCATGTGCAAATCCTCTCCTCTGCTACTGAACTAATGTCTAATCCCACCAGGGAAGGAGGAATACAAGCCATGCATTCCTCCTCCTCAATTATAAAATGGGAGTCCAAAAAATTCCAGTGAGTGATCTGTGAGAATTTGAAGCAGAAAAGAACAAGAAATTCATATCACACCCCTTGCTTATGATGCATCTCTTGTAAAATAATGGGAATAATTTTATTCCAAATACCATACAATAAAGATTATTTTGATTCTCATTAATATACCTTGTAATGTAGACTATCTATACTTGGGTATGGCCATGCTCCCTTTTCCAAAAGGGAGTGAGAGATATCCTTCTTGAAAATACAGTGGAGCAGTGTCTGCTAACACACCACCACCCAGCACCAACACCCCTCAAATAACACACAGTGAGTGTGAACAACTGCAGGAGGAAGTAGTTGTACAGACTCACTGTGGGTTGCAAGCATGTCACACCGATCTAGTTTTGGGTCATGATGAAAAAGTTTAAGTCTTTAAGAACCAGAACCACTGCTCTAGATGAATCCTTATACTGTACTGTATATTTCTCAGGAAAGATCAACGTTATGTGCCCTCTTAGCTGGTTGATCAGTGCACATATAAATGATGCTATTGTATTAACACACCAAGCTTAACACTGAAAATTCCAAAAGAAACAATCACCAAAGGATTAGCATTACTTCCAAGTACATTCATGTTAAGTACATAAAGATTCTACAATATCTAGTCAATAATTTAGTAAATTTAAGTTATGATTAACTCAAAACTGGAGGATTTAAGAATGAAATCTCATTTCATAGCTACAAGAAATGAGATGCGTGACCTGTAAGATGTCTACCTTGACCAGGGTACTCTGACATGTTTTAGAGGCAGGTTCTTGATGAACATTGCAAAATTTGATGCAAGCAGTTCCCAACTTAACAAAACTTGGGTTGAATAATTGAGACATAGTTCAAAAACTATATTGAAACAATCTGGATGTATTGTACAATACTGTATCTGTATCTGTTTTGAAGAAACTGACTGTACTCTGTATAGTACAGTACTAAAAAAAAGACTGTTCTTGTTTTGTGATTTATATATGTAAATGTATTCTAGTCAGTTGTAAATTCTTCTGAAAAAGCTCCAACAAAAGAAGATATGCTTGTCCTGCTGCTGGGTCATAAATGAAACTAATTCCTCTGTGGCCATAAGAAGGGATGTGATTATCATAAATTTAATAACCAACCAATTTTGGATCACTTGAAACATGAGAGAAAGCAGAAGGGATAAAATAATTAAGAGTATCACGGGTAGGCAGGTAACCTTTCGTTACATCGGAGAGTAGCAAAGCTGCCCTGACAGCTAAGAGGGTGCTTGGAATTCCTACATATAATGCCCAGTTCCCACTCTGTAACACTGGGCTGAGGATAAGAAAGGCACCCAGCCATATAATTGCTTTATATTTGCCTGACTGTAGCCAGGACACCATGCAATCAGGTAATCATGGCTAACTCATACAGGTGTGGTAAATGACTGTAAATTAGTGATGACGACGATGATAATGATGAGTCCCATCTGCCTAATTTATCACAAATGACTCCGACCCTACTGATCATAAGTGATAGGCCGGAGACAAAACAAGAGTTTGCTGTAACCTTTGAAGGCAAATAAATCTATGGAAAAAAAAGAAAAAAGACATTAGTATAAGAATAATTCTGAGTGAGAGAAACCCCTTCCTGGCTGGTGTTAGTCTCTGTAAGGCCTTTACCCCACAGTCCAAATCCTCGGTGTTGTCTCATGGAAAGAGAATTGACTTTTTCAAGAAACAAAATTTTTGTTGATCCCTATTTTGTCAGTTACTCCAAAGAAAAAGAATTTACTTGATCTCTCTTTAATGATTCAAACAACATAGAGTCATTAAAGCATGAGGACCCAAAAGCTCTTTCATGTCTAAGTATAACTTTTTTTTCTATATTTTCAATTTCTTTCCGTTCTTTTTTTTTCGCCCCCCAGGCTCCGTTGTGGGTCGTTTGACCTGTGCCCGGTTTGGCTAATTCCCGTAAAAAAAAAAAAAAGTGAAAATTATCTGTGGTTTTTGAACAGGTGTCTCTATAAGACACCTCTGGAAATGAATTACCTGAAATAAATATAAAATTTAGAATGTCACATGACACTACCCCATAAATATTTCTTTGATATGCCAAATAAAATTCTGCCTTTGTTTTCACATCTACCATACTAAGAATGAAACCAAATCCACAGTTCTTTTGAGGACAGGTACAGTGGTATGTCAAAAGTTTATGTTCACTCTGTGGTTCATTTGCATTAGAATAAACCAAAACATGTACAGTACATTTACTCATATAACAAATATACTGTACAGTATATGAATACTAAACTCCATATCAATAAAAAATAGCACACAATAAACTGTGAAATTGTTATGTTGCAATATTAAAAACATGTATTTCCAAAATCGTCTAAGAATGTGAAATTAAAAGATTTCACCTCGACATTTATTCACTTTGGATATTCTAAATTAAAAAACTCGCAGCCAAAGCACTCAAATGAGATCAAGATTAGCTTACTGGTCTTAGTGGACAGCAGGAGTTTGAGGGAATCAACACATGGACTCATATTATATGACTTGGAGGGCTTTGAAAATTATATTTATTAGTCTATTGCACAGGTACTGATGACTGACAAGAAGCCCCAATGCACTACAAATGAACCATCCGATCAAATGGGATCAAATCTTCAACCATGATTTGATGGGGTGAGATATCATCTGGCCTTAAGCAGCAGGACACTATATTGTGCCCTTACACAAGTGAACCTTCAAGCAAAAAGCAGTTTATATCAAGCAGGTCAGTTTTTGATGATCTACAGGTTATAAAATGAAGTACAGAAATGGACACCATAACATTCAAAAAATTCTGAGGAGTAACACGTGGAAGATTATAAAACATGACAGTGTGTGAGGGTGCAGAGCGTGGCATTAATGAGTGAAAAGGTAATTGCTTAAGCACTCTTTCACTGTCACCATCAACATTAAGTATATCCTTACTCTGAACTGATTTGCTGTTGCATGGTCATATTCTGAGTAGAACTAGCTGATGAAGAAGATGGTTCAGGAGCAGGAGGGATGGGCTCAAAGTTTCCATTCACGAACTCGGAGAAAGTGGCATCCACATCATTAAGTGTTTCCCACACCATGTTTTCATGTAGGAAGCCTTGATCAGTTAGCAGCTGGTATAGTTGGTCCTGAGTATAGACAAACTCATTAGTAAAAATATTCTACTCAAAAAAGTTTTCAAAATATCAGCTATGCATTTAACATAAGAGATACATATTTCAAACCTATGAAACAATAATCTATATACTGTATAAGACAAGGATTATAACACAACAAAAAATAAAGTTATTTACCCCTTTTTTATATATGGTGGAGAAGTGATTGTTGCGGAAAAGGACAGCTATTTCCTCCCGTACCAGGGAAGACCCCAGCTCAAACAGTCCATGGATAGTCAGCTGGGACCCACTGTTAGTCATAAACTCCTCACACAACATGGCTAAAAAATAACCCACAGTATTAAATAACATAACCATAAATAATGTTAATATTTACGCTAATTTCCCATTTATGCTAAAGTAAGCCCAAAATTTACGTGATATTAAGTTCTTAAAAACCCTCAAGGCATAGACTTTGTTATACCGGTTCTCTCTCTCCAGGTCAGCAATGTACTACTGTAAAATCATTACTTGAAATTCTACAAGGTAAGGTCATACAGTTCAATTATAAATTTTTAAATTATGTGAAGTGTTATACAAACATCTCAGATCATTATTTGTGCAAACTGGAGGTCTTCTGTAAAGTATATGGGAATGTTAACAATAAAAAATTCAATCAATATGAAAAGTATTGTTTGAAGTTGAGGAATAAATGAACATTTATTTCTGATACACTTAAAACTACTTGAAGAGCAAGACTCCTTAATGAAAACAGCTTCATGTAATGGTTTTAACATTAAACTAAAATATAATTATGCATGTGCTTAAAATAATAGCACCAATATCTCTGTTTGAATTCACCATTCACGTGAAGTATCTTATAATACCCACCACCGCCATAGATGGTGGGTATGAGTGCTAAAAGTCTTATGACACAAGGTAATTAAAGAATAATCACTTTAAATGCAAGAGGTTCTACATTTAGTAAAATAAATTTATTTGTACATTAAACCCCGGATATACCGAACTTCAGCTTTCACGAGGGTCTATCAAACATGTGTAAAGTTAATATAGTTACCTAGAACTGACCACCTCAACATCACCAGAAAACAACCACAGATTCAACCTCAGAAAGGTAAATACAGCTACATTTAGTACTCTTAATGAATCACCTTTCCCCCCAATTGGTCCATTATATCTAGGGTTTACTGTACTGTAGATATTTAGTGATGGAAATTTCAAATAGTAAATATCTAAGAGAAAATGTTGTAAAATACCTTTCACCAGAAGATCATTGTTATTGTTTTTTATAGCTTCTTCTCTCCAGGCAAAGATGTTGTTTGTGAGCTGGTTGTAGGACAAGTCTTTAATGATAGCAGCTGCCTCACTGGAGGGGTCTACCACCCACCCATGGTACAGCATGATGCCAAGCAGGTCAAACACGCACAGCTCACCCGTAAATTCAAAGTCCCTAACACTGTGGATCAAAAACATTTCTCAATGAAGTGCAGTAACATACAAAGTGACTAAAACTATATATCAGAAACATATCTCAGAGAAGTGAAATATAATTCAAAGGTTCCAACACTGTGGGTCATAAAAAGTTTCAAAGAAAGAAAAATATTTCCATGTAAAAAATGTAAACAGTACCTTTTAGTTAATCACTACAATGGAACATATTCTCCCTTATACACAAACAAATCTTTACACCTCAATGACAGCTGTAATATATATACCGAGTAATTGCAGATTTGTTGAAGAGCTGATCAAATAACATGATTATTTTATATCTTCCTCAGTTAGGATATCTGGTCTGCTCCTCAATCAACAAAATATGTACTACAGTGATAAATGAACTGCACACAACACTTGCTTTCTATTTCTACTTTAACTTCTACATGTAACAGCATCATACTGTACTCTTAGAATTAACATCAAAAGTCAGCAGAAGGCCTCCTAAAAATTTAACCAGAACAATTTAAATTAAATGAGATACCGGTACTGTACAGTACTAACACAGGTCATTAAGTTAAAACAAACACTTAACTCACCCAGAAAACTTAACATTAACATCAAGGCCAGTGAGCAATTTATGTAAAATACTGATGGCATCTTCAGTGTTTTTCTCAACATGGCGCCTCATCTCTGAGGGCAGAGAATTTCTTGGCTGATCGAATAATGCATTTCCAACCACCAGAACCAACTCACCCCCTGTGATTTCTGATCGGTCCGCTGGTAGTGTAATCTGACCCTGTAAGATACATATACAGTATTAATCACAAACTGCCAATAAATGTGGTTTCACTGAAGGTGTTAGTGAAAAAATTTTGAGACTATAAAAAAGTTTGAAAAGTGTCAAATCCTGATCATATTTCATACAAATTAGTCAAGTTTATGAAATCCATTTAAACCTTTGGCATCTCAGCACGCTGCCTTTGACTTCACACTTAGTCAGCATGAACTTGTGTCATTATAGCAGGTAAAATGATAGAAAGGGGTTGGCATCCTATTCACTAATGTACTACGGTAAATACCATCAATAATAGAAGTACAAGTGCCCATCAGAAAATTCTCTGTGGCCATCCAACCCAATATACTGAAATCTCACTAATTCAATATCATTGGGACTCTGGACTGATCAAATTACAGTAGTCAGAAATATAGAATTTCCCCTACATATTGTACAGTAATTACAGTACTGTAACTCCAAATCACCTCACAATTCCATTACTGAATATTTTAACACACTGTAGCTAACTCTACAAACTATCTAGAATTATTATATTTACAGGTTATGTTGTATTTACTGAAATACAGGCATTCCCGCAATACAGAAATTCGCCGTTGCTAAATTTTGAAATTATGACCCAAAAATTTGTGATGCAGACAACAAAAATCTTGTCCTTATGGAATTTTGGTAAACTTTTTAATTTTTCAAAAATAAAAATCATAATATAATGTACAGGTGTAACAAAGAAATTCAACCCAAATAAATTTATTTCGTGTGGATTCTTGGTGGTAGCTAAAAGATGGTTGGAGGGCGGCTCACTTCCCCAGCAGCCACCAAACAATGGCGCTGCTCAATTTGAATTATTTCCCCAGTTTGTGTTCAGTTATGTGTCTGTGTTACTGTGTACTGCACCATTATTCAAGATGAGTGGAAAAAGGCCATCAAGTTCAAGTGAAAGCAGTGGTGATAAAAGATTCCATAAAGGAATTATGTTGGACATTAAACACGATGTTTTAGGGAGGTCATTTCCAGTAATTCCGATCGCACCACCTCACCTCATGCAGCACTCAACATCATTTCTGGTGAGTTAAATTCATGTATGCAGTTATTATAATGTTACATTTTGAATGAATCGTTGTAGTGTTTAAAACTCAATTTTTATTCATACACTTGTATGTACTTGTGTTACTATTTTGGGCCGCAAAAAATTTCCATAGGAATGCATCTCAGCTTCTATAATGGGAGTCAATGGGAAAATGGTTTCGTCATACGGAATTTCGCAATGCGGAAAGATTTTCAGGAATGGAACCCTTCCGTAACCCAAGGGATGCCTATACTGTATTAAAAATTTCCCACAAAATACAGTATACACTGAAGTTGCTATAATTTGTTAAATACAAATTCATATGTACCTCTGTTACTACCTCTTTTAAATTTTGTGGTCAGATATTTATAATTCGCAAACAAGTGCCAGATGCCGCAGAAGTTATTTACACAAGAGACCATAAAAGTTGTGGAAATAAAATTTCAATGCTCAAATCTGACTTAAAAATAATGAAAGTACAGTACAGTATAATATAATAATATAAAATAAGAGAAATGAAGAGTGGAAAGTGGATTCTGTGTAGGAGAGGTATACTATAGTAGGTAGGTGGGTGGGTGGCTTGCTGGAGTAAGCAGAAATTCTCCACCCTCCAACCCCTTTATAAAGACAGTGTGCAATTTCACCATAATTCCCATATAATTTAGGTTCATATGTTGTGTGGTTAATAAAACATTATCATAATTTTTTTTTTTTTGAGAAAAAATACCACTCTCGACCCCAGATGAGTTATTATGCTATATTAAATTCCTGTGACTTTGTTGACATGGGCAAACAGGTGGCCAGCCAGCAACTCCCAGCATCTGCCTGGCTCCATGTTGGTGCGATGTCATACATTGCTATATGACATCAGAGACGGCCGTCAAAATGTGCTAGTAAGAATCAGGCTTAAGACAGAGATGTGAAACTCCAGTGTTTCAAAATAGTGTATTGATAAGCATTAAGATTCACATTAGTAAAGATGGGTAGTTTAAGAACCATTGTGGGAGCTCAGAGTAATGACAGAATGAGCAATGAAAAATTAAAAGAATGTGTGGGTTCCAGGTTCAAATATGTCTGAAGAGTCAAATGGATGAGAGTAATCAAATGTGTTATACACATATGGAGTACATGGGATGTGGGAGACTGAGTAGAAAGATTCATAAAATAAAACTGTTGAAAGCAAGAGGTGATCAACTGAGAAAGGTATGAATAGACACTACAGGTGCATTGGATGTGTCACCCAAAGACTGATGATGCACGCATTAATCCAACCCACACACAAGTGGGGAGGAAGTAAAGATGATATATTTTTGTCCCTCTGTATAATATATCTGGATAATTTTATGAAATGAATACAGTACAGTACAGTACAGTATTAAGAAATGTCTGGAGAGATAAGATGCACAGAATAGTCCAGTAGCTAAATGCAGAATTAATAACTAGATAAGTTGTCAAAATAAGTGCTAGAGAGACCTGACCTGGGTTTGCTAACACGTTATAGACATACTGAGAGAACATGAAGCAAAAATTAAATAAATAAAAAAGTGCAGGATGGGGTAGAGGATGCACTACATATGAGTGGTTAGACAGGAAGCAGTATTACAAGTGAATGAAAAGAGAGTACTGTATGGTGTTGAATAAATTATTTATGGGGTAGGAGGTGCTGCTGATGGGTGATGCAACTTGTATAAAATAAAAGGAATAAACTAGATAAATATCTTGAGGCCTTGTTGTAGAAGGAGAATACTGTAGCAGAACATGTCTGTTAGTGTAATAAATGTGAATGAATGACAACAAATAAAAGGAAAGACTATTTACTCCTAGGTATAACTACAGTACCCTACAGTACAGTATACAGTATAAGCAGGAAAGTGTGGACGTGAAAAAATATAACTATCATGATTGTCAGTTATTATCATTAATAGCTCACCATGTAGCAATTGTACCAATTTACAGCATTTGCATTCACTAATTTTCTTAAATTGCATTTAAATTTTAGATCAGCTACATAATACTGAACTGTAAGTACCACAGTAAAGTTGTTTACTTACCTTAAGAATCATAACATTAACAATTGCTAGAAGTGGACAAGGACCATTGTTATTTTGTGTGATAATGGGCACCTCAATATCCTGCCACTTGATCTTCTTGATCTTGTGCACAACATCTGAGGGGTCAACAGGGTGAGGTTCAGGACTGCGCTTTTCTGAGCCTGGAGCAGCTGTCACTGCTGATGAAACAGTTGGTTGCGATCTTTGGGGCTGGGAAGCCTGAGTAGGGATCTCCTCAGCTTCAGGTAGGATACCCATGGAAGGCAGCACCGATTCTCCCTGTGATATCCAGCCACAAACACCACTACAGTCCTCTGGTTTTGAATCATCTTTATCAAGTTTCACACTGAGCTGCTCAACTAGTTCCGAGCTGTTTCGTTCATGGTCCTCGCCAGAGGCGCTTAACTCACTATTCTTTAGTTCACTTTCAAAACTCTCAGTTAGAAGATCAGGCAGACCTACAGCACTCTGCTTTTCAGGATTGTCCTCTACAGTTGGCACTATGGTTAAATTTCCTAAGTTTCTCTCCCCCTGCTCCAATGGTGATGGAGTTAAGGAGGTATGTGAAGTTTGTGAAGGCACTTTGGGACACACATTCTCTGGGTCCTGAGTACCAGCAGACACAGGTTTATCAGTATTTTGTGGCTCCTGCTGCGAGTCTTTTTCTGTGGCTCCTGATGCTGCTGTCTCGGCTACTACTGGCTTATCTTCAGAGCAAGTCAGCTCTCCCTCACCCGCCTCACATGCAGATTTTCCTGAAATATACAAAATACAGTACTGTACTTTACTCAGTCTCCCAATAAAATACATTTCATATTATACAATGACAGTAACTAAAAAAGGCAACACAATCAAAGAAACTGAAGAGGAGTTAATATCTCTCAGATGCCAGGAGTAGTATCTTACCAAACCTAACATGAACTAATGGGAGTACAGGTATAGTGATGAGCAGGAAATTGTTGAGCCAAAATTACCACAGTACATGTACAGTAAGACACAAAGTGGAAGTAAAGTAAGGAAGAGAGTACCGATAGACTGGGGTTTGCTCACATAACAAGAGCATATTGAGAGCATGGGAAGAGAACGATTGGTATAAAGTACAGTATGTAGAATTCAGAGGAGGATGGTACTGTACAGTACTCTAGTAAGAGGATGGGTAGACTAATGGAATGGAAGGACAGGGTGAAGGATAAGTGAAGGGACTCAACACAGAGGGAGAAACAATGATTGGAGAGCAGGACACCAAGTGATTTTTACTGATGAACATCCTGCTAGTGAGTGATGTTAGGGTGTGTGAGGGACTACTATAAACCAGATGCTGTACTGTACACACCTTGAGGACTTGTCATGGAAGGGAAATACCATATCAAACACAAATGCATTATAGCAGATGGAATGAATAGAGAGAGTTTGGGGGGGGGTTATGTGTTCCTTCTTGATTCCAGTAGCCACCCTACATATTAGAATGAAAAGGCTTGGAAGAGTAAATATACATACTGTATACTGCACTGTACTGCATATTATATAAACCATTAGTTGAACAACATTTTGTCACATTAAACAGAATATTATTATGAATGTCTACAGTATAATACAAAAAACAAAATTACTAAATATGTACAGTACTATGCTGTATAATGGACTGCACATATATGTCACAAAAAATTGCATTTTTATATTACAACTCTTAAATAAGAGAAAAGTAATAAATAACGAGAAAGCAAGTCAATTCTTGTATGTGTAGCACTGTATCCCAACCCCCTAAACCTGTTAAATCTACCATAATCAAGGATAGTTCAGCTCACCAGTTATTGTAAAGGTCTTGTTTAATACAGTATGTTCTATGAGCAACAGTATCTACCACTGACTAAGTGCCACTCAATAAATAAAGTTAACAATCCTATGCTGTTATGATAATTGGTAACATAGTTTCATTATCATTGGCTGTGGTAGAGCCAACAAGAGTACATTGTAGATCGGTAAATTGGCAAGAAGCCACAAGAAAACTCAGCTCCCTTCAGATACAGTATCAGACACTCAGTAAGGTGAGCAACCTACTTATTCCTTAAGTATTTTCATCTAAATACTGTACAGTACCAGCTACCCTCATTAAACAAGGGGGTTACATTCTTGAATACATTGTGAAAGGTTAAATTACATTTGGCAATTTTAATATTTTAAGGGAAACCGTTCATGGATATTGTGCTACATATTAAAAAAATATTTAGATTTTTGTCAAGAAACATGTAAACTGGAATAAAAATAGAAGCAATAATAACTAAAACCAAAGAGTTCATGAATTATAATTGACCTCAGAGTTAAAAACCTGATGAGAGAGGCTGTGTGACACTGCACAGAAAAGGAAATCTGTCATCATGTACCATAGCAAATACAAGTAGTATAGAAAATCGTGATGATGATTTATGTGTAAGTGCAATTTGTAACAAAAAGTTAACAACCAAGATTAATAACACAATAAGAGAATCCAAAGCCATTTTTAACCCTTAGACTGCTCTTGGCTGCCTGTTAAAAAGCTATGGTTATTTTTATCTTAGGTACAGTATTTTATTCTGGCTAATGCTAGATGACTTTATTCAGCTTAGGAAGGGCCTCTACACCCTCATGGTTAAAGGTACAGTATTTAACATTCGCCTATTGGGGACCCAGGGTGATGGTGATTAGCTTAAACAGTTCTCTCATCATCAGTTTTGTTAAAGATGATGCAAGGCTGCTCTATGGTACCAAATTTCACTACTACAATTAAAAATACAAGGCAGACAAAAGTGTCTAATTAAGCATTTCCTGTCACCTCTTAGAGAGGAAACACAACAACGCAGTAGCTCACCTCAGGAGAGATAACCTCATATCTACTGACTACTGTACTTCATTTCTCTGAGCCCTCGATATGGCATTGTCCAGGAAGTTTATACAGTAGTCTTTAATGTGAGGAGAACTGAATGAGTGACCTCACAGCTCACAAAGTCTGTACTGTATAATCCATCAGAAGGGTCAGAGAGGCAAAAATTATATTTCTGTACCTGCAGTATAATTCTACCTTGAACTACTGTACAATCAAGAAAGTAATGCAAGGAACAGATAAATATAGCAACTCTAATACTGCAGGAAGAATATCAAGTGCAAACAGTTGACAGGAGGGCATTTATCAACAAATTAACTTATTATTTTGGGTAAGAATGCAACCACCAACTGTAAGCAGCAAAGATTAAAAAAAGGCAAAGTGAAATTGTAAAACAACAAAGACTGTTTTCTTCCCAGCCTGTGCACTCCATGAAGGTAAAGCAGCATCACTCAGAGATTTGTACCGGTTACAATTAGACAAGAGTTCAATGATAATTTCATCCATTTTGTTCCAACACTAACGGTAATGGTCATCAAGGCCATCAACTACTTCCTGTTGTGTTCAACTTTGGCATGAAAGTTGCATGAAGACCAAACCATATATTCTCAGTGCCATGACTTGTTCTTAACACAGTATTATCTTTACAAAAGACTTTACAAAATCCATTGTTTGTATAAATATAGTGAGAATAATTCACAATATAATATTTGATTTAAACCTCACATTTTGCCTCTACAGTACTTCACAGCCTTGTTCCTTAATAGGGTAAAGTGCAGTATGTGGTTTTTATACATACAGTAATTGTGTATTATACAAACACTACTTTTCAATTTAAAACACAGTAAGAACACCGAGGTAAAGCGTCATAAGAAAGTTCTACATATAAGTGTCGGCCTTCTCTATCTCCTCCCAGTGTACCTTGAGTCTACTGTACCGTACAGGTATTCACAAGTCATCATCTTCAAATTTACTTCTCTCATATTCTTTTAAGTTTCCTTATTAATAATAATATAAGGTAAGTGGAGGTGAGATGGAAGTGACTATCAACAAATTGATCATGTCAAAGGAATAAGATGATGCAACAAAACATGACACAACAGCCAATGCCAACCAATTTCCCAAGAATTTCATTTGATCAAACAAAACCTTATAAGACTTCCAGGGGGGAATTTCTGATATATAAAGTGATAAAAGAGCCACGTTATAATATTCAATTTCACTTTTATGATAATAACCAAAATGTCTGCTTGCAAGCACCCTAATGAAACGTTTCACCTCTGGACCTCAATTTAAGATACATTAAAACCCTTTTCATCACATAAATTACAAGAGACTCTTGAGTATCCATCAACGAGCGAGACACTGCTCACCTGGGGTATCCATAGTTATTGCATGGTGAATGGTGAGGGTGGTAACATGACTAATGTATGTAGGGTGGAGGCAGACCGAGCACCATCTGTAGTAAACAAACAGCTCAGCAGCGCCACCGTCAGCCAGCGGCACTCACCACAACCTCACTGGTCACTCACTCACCACAACCTCACTCACCACTCACTCACTCACAACTCCATAACCCAGATGTAATCATTCGTATCTTTATTTTATTTAGTACTACATGGCCTCACACTCATCTTGTGTTGACTAAGTTAATGAGAAATATAAAACGAAGTAAGATATCGTACATTGTCTGTTGTTTATGTCAAGTTGACACCTGGAAATTTACAGGGATTTTTGTTTAAGTAAACTTATGTCTTAAGTATTAGCCTGGTTTTATTTTATTTTCGAAAATAAGACAATTCGAATTTTCCGTAATCTTTAATTGCGCGTTAATTTAGTTACTGCGTAGCCAAATTCATATGAACGGAATGAGACGAGTCATGTGACGTCACAGGTGGAGAATTAGCTCAGCTGGTACGCGAGATATTCTCAAGAAACAGGTAAATAATTTACTCCAGCAGATTCTTAGAAAAGATACAAATAAAACAAATCACTGTAGTTTAGCTTAAATTAAACAAGATTGGTATATGTAATCAGAGTAAGTTAACATTTTTAATGTAGGGTTTTACCCAATATTTGTTGACAAAGAAATACAGGGTGTTCCCGTTCTGATTTCTTTTTTTCTTTAATCCTCTTCACCACTGATCGGCTCGTTAGCCGCTTGGGCGATCGGTCACGTCTCTGTTACACTGTTGGCAAGTACTGGGCATGCGGCTTAAAATATTGAGATGCATTTTTCTTGCGTTTGAAAGAGTAACTACATAGTCAAGCTATGTTTTTCATCGAAGCAAATTTTTCCAATGAGGGGTGGCAGTCGCCCTCGCAGCCCCCCCCCCCAACAACGCCACTCCAAGCTCGAATTAAGCAACTATTACACTAACTACAGGGAGAGTAGGCTTCCTCGATTCAGTCTTGTTCCAGGGGGTTGGCGTGCTGAGAATGTTCTAGACATGTACAGTACAGTTCGATTAAAACGTCATTGAAAGCTCGAGGCTCGCTGCTTTACCCTTCTGAATAAAACATTAGGTTCGGTTGTAAGGGGGGAAATAATTTATTTCTTAACATTCTTTCTTTATACTAATATTTCTACTTTATGTTCTCTGTTACTTTTCTCTTATCTAGTTATATTCTGACCTAGGGCTTACCTGGGAAACCCCTTATTATGTTACAATCTTCAATACTGACGGTAGCTGCCACCACCCAGAACATACTATATAATATAACATTAATCACTTTAATAAGGTTATAGTAACAGGGCACTTGGGTGGTAGCAACGTGGCGAGGGCTGAGGCACGTGGGTTTGTTTGTATTTAATGGTATCAAGGTGTGAGGAAGAAACAAAGGTGAATACAGCATACTGTTTTTTCCTCTGTCACGTCACTGTTGGCAAGTACTGGGCATGTACTGGCCCCTGAATGTGCCTGAACCTGCTCCAACGTTGGTCAAGTCTGGTCTTGAAAGAACTTACACTCGGTGCCGTCACAACACTCTCTGGTAGATTGTTCCAAGAGTTCACAACTCTCACTCCGAAAAAGTTTCCCTCACAGTTTTCTGGACTTGCAGCTTCTTCAACCTTGAGCTGTGACCCCTAGTGGGGCTAGCGTCCGCCAACTCCAGGTAAGAACACTCGACTGAGTAGTGCCCTTTGAGATGTTTATACACTCCAATTAGGCCCCCCCTTGCTCGTCTGTAGTATAAGCTAGGCAATTTCAGGCACTTTAATCTCTTTGGGTAGCTAAGGTGCCGAAGTGCCGGCACCAGTCTGGTGGCCCTCCTTTGGACATTTTCAATCAACTGACAGTCCCTAGCATATCTCGGGGACCAGACGGGGTGACAGTACTCCAGACGGGGAAGCACTTCGCTCTTGAAGTTCGTTACGAGGGACGGGCCGGCTCGTCTAGATATCTGAACGACCTTCTTACAAGACCTAATAATTTTGTTGCTTGGTTTACCCTCTTCTTACAATGGCCCGAGAACTTCAGTTCATTGTCAACATACACACCCAGGTCCTTTTCGCATTCAGTCTCAATTAATGCAGTTTCTTCATCCCGTTGGGACATATGTTACGCCTCCTTACCATTGGTACGCCTCCTTACCATTGGTACGCCCCAGGTGCAGCCATTTCTTCGACCATTCTTGGAGCCCACAGAGATTCTTCTGCAGCTCATCACAGTCCGCTTGGTTCTTAATTTCCCTAAATAACTTAGTATCATCCACAAATATTTGTATGGAGGAATGTACAGCTTCTGGCATGTCATTTATGAAACAAACAAACAACAGCGGACCCAATACACTGCTATGTAGTACCCCGCGATTTCGTGTCATTAATCACCACACACTGCTTGCGATTATAGAGAAAGTCTCCGATCCACGTTAGGACACTTTTCCGAATCCCGTAACCCTCCAGTTTAATTTTTAGCCTTTCATAGGGTACGCTGTCGAAACCCTTGGCAAAATCTAGTTATACATTATATTGTGGATATTGCCACCCTGTTCCAGAATTCGAGTCCAAGCATTCAGTACCTTGAGTAGTTGTGTTAAACAAGAGTGTCCCGGCATAAAACTGTGTTGGCAATCTTTTACAAGGTCGTTTCATAGTAGATGTTCCATTATGGCATCTCAAGTACTTTACGTAGGCTCACTGGTCTATAATTATTTGTGGAGTGTCGATCGCCCTTCTTGAAAACATGACTCACTTAAGCCATTTTCCAATCACTGGAGACCTTTTGCTCATCCAGGCATTTACCGAACAGGACCTACAGGGGCTCAGCAAGCTTGTTGCACAACTCTCTTAGCACTCTGGGATGCACCAAGTCAGGACCGGGACTCTTATGAACCTTGAGCTTTGACAATTTATTTCTTATAATGTACCGACCACGGTCGTACATGTTAGTTAACGTAAAATCGGATGATTCATATTGTGGGGAACGGGTTGTTTGGGTTCACACTCAGGATGGGATGGAGAAAGGAAACTCTCAATGTGCTCTCTGTATACATGTTGTATTGGATGTACAATGCAGCTTTGTGCTGGGAAGTTGCAGCGTGGTTACAAGCGTGATGTAGAGAGAGCTGGTTGGTGAGGGTGCTCAGAGGAGGACAGCTTGTGGGTCGCCATGCTCGCCGGCGGGAGCGAGGACCGCCAGGCAGCGGAGGAGGAGGAGGAGGAGGTGTTGCTTGCTAGTTGGTGTAGGTAGAAAAGAGAGCGGTCACCACGAGGTCAGATCTTAAATAGCGGAGCTAGGCGTGGCTTAGTAGTTGACCTCCGTCATGTAAGGCGGCGCTGGTTGACCCAGACCACGAGGCATACACTGGGGAATTCGCGGGGTCGGCTACTCAGCGACAAACAGCGTTTGTAGGGAAGAAATCCACTACAATATTACGCTCCATTCCCCATAAAACATGTAGCTGGAACTTCATTATGAGTTACCCATTTGAGACGTTCGTTTTCTCACCACTTCAGTACGCCTGAGACCTCCGTTTTCTCTCATTTACGTACCTCGGAGACTCTAATATCTCTTGATATCGCATATGATTTTTTTTATGATTTGAAAGTCTCACTGAATGCGTATGCTTTACATTAAGATAGATATGACTGCTTACAGATGAAACATTCATGATCAATTGTGAGTGATTTTGAGAGCTTCAACTATATTTACTTTTAGTAAAATTGTCAAGTAATTTCTTGTGTTAGTTTGTAATAGAGGCGTGATTCGTATTCCTGCCCTGGAAGGCGAATCCAGTTGACAGTTGCCTCTGAGGTAAGCTCATTTTAATTCCCAAACATCAGAAAATCTGAGGATTGAATTGAAATTATTGTTAGTTTTATATTTTAGAAAGTGATTAATCTTCTGAAGGAAAACAGTCGACTTCTTATCGCCTAAAATCTAACGGAGAACTATCAGTAATCCCTTGGCTGACCAAGTCCCAAATGACCGACCAATTCCAAGATGGCCGACCACTTGAAAGATGGCCGACCACTTCCAAGATGGCCATCACCTAACTGAATATTGAATCATATATGGGGGAGATAGAGAAAACTAAATTAAAAACAATTTATTCTGTAACGTTTCCCTCGAAAACTTATAGTTTTCGAGCTATTTTAACTTTTATTTTATAATATTTGGCCAATCAGCATTAATGTTGATGTGACATAGTACAGTACAGTACAGTACAGTACAGTACAGTACAGTACAGTACAGTATAGTTTTGTGTTCTTTTATCATGTATTTTAGCGTTCTCCTGTGTGTTTCAGTCAAGCGAGTTGCCATCTCTCTTGAAAAAGAAGCTTAATAACCACCACTCGCGCTTCAGCACTCAAATTTGGCGCCACAGATCAAGCTGATTTGTTTAAATTTATCTTGTCCAGGCTTACCAGCCCTCCCGAGTTGTGGCATTACGGTTACTAAATGGCAACATGACTATACAAGCTGCTAATGGAGTTTGACGAATCCAATTTTGTCAGGTTACTAAAACTTAACCCGACATTCAGAAATGCTCTTCGGACTTGTTGCCCGGAATGTTCAAGAAAGTGGCTGGAAGACTTATCCCGAAATGTTTCAATAACAATTCAGATTACTAAATAACTCAATCCAAATCTCCTGCTTTGGGGATAATAATAAGTAACCCGAATGCTAAAAAAAAATGGCTATATTATTCTGGATGTATTTAACGGGATTTTATGGGTACCAATGGGATTTAAATCGATATTAATGGGTTTTAATGTAACACTAATGAGATTTAAGGGGATTAATTAATTTATCCCTTCATCAACATCTCACACAGAATAAATGACACTCACCCTAAGACTATCAATTAATTATAAGTTGTAAACGAATACTATTTTATTCACTTATCACAAGACCTGATTAGTTATACTACAAGTGATCTTCAAGGAATATAGAAGTTTTGTATGATAGTCTATTCTCTAGTATATCCTTTTATATCAGAAAATTAAACCAAAATAATAGAGAACTTCGATATACAACAATGACTCAGTTTCTCTAAAGCGTC